GCTTTAATGTGGCGGGCTCTGCAAACCTGGGAGCATGGCTCACCCTCTGGGCTTTACACTTCAAAGGGAAGAGTAAAATCATTTCAGATTTTATTTTTGAGACAGGGTTGCAATATATAGACCAGGCTGGCCCAACTCACAAAGATCCTCCTGGCCGTGCTTCCCAGTTTGCTAGGCTTAAAGGTCTGGGCCACCCAGTCTCATGTTCTTTGGTTTGGCTCTGAAGCAGAATCCTACTATGCAGCCCTGGCTAGACTCCTGCAGCAGTTCTCCGGCCTAGGCCTCTCCAGTCTTGGGATGGAAGGCATCCCACACCTGGCTCCATACCCTCCCCACCCCAGCCGAGCAGCCTCCAGGCCCAGGCCCCTCCCAGGAGGGCCTGGTTCCCCTGCAGGGCCTTTTGTGCACAGGTGTCCGCCTCAGCAAGGCTCTGCCTGCCCCTACCATCTGGGTTGGCTCTGGCCCTCGGCAGGGACGCCCTGGCACGCAGCAGAGGCAAGCCAGGGCCTGCGGGGCCTCTCGGAGTGGAGCTGGCCCAGCTGTATGGAAAATAAAAAAAAAAAGAAACAAACCCCCCAGACCGGCAGGAGGGGAAAGGAGGTGGGCAGCACCCTGCCTGCAGGGGAGGGAGGGCATAACAGCCAGAGACCCCAGTGCCAAACGGGGAGGCCCCACCGGAGTGGCCCTCACCCCCGTAAGAGATACAGGGTAGTGTTGATGGAGTTGCCTGAGAGCTTCCAGGTGGTTCTTCAGGCCCTCTGCTAGGAGAAACTGAGGCTGCAGAAGGCAGCCCTTAAGGTTTGAGGGGGAGGTGGGGCATGTGGGGTGGCTGGACCTTGGCCAGGCTAGGGAGGGAGGCGGCTGTTACTGGGGCAGCCACAGGCTCTGGCTGTGAGCCCGGATGGGCTGGGGCCCTGAAGCTCTCAGGGCCAGGCCTGGGCTCTAGGGACGCCAGATGCTTCGTGGCCCGAGCCAACCTCCCAGGCCTCAGCTGCACTGCAGATCCACCCTGGGTGAGGGGCTCCAGCCTGCACTGTTTGCACTGCACACTGGTTCTCGCCACGTAGCCCTCGAACTCTCCATGATCCTCCTGCCTCAGCCTTCCCAATGCTAGGATTACTGGCCTGTGCCACCACATCGCTGCCTGAGTGTCCTCAACAGGCTTGTGGGGTGCTCACCTCCCACTCTCTGTACGCCAAGGCCACATATCCCCCTTCTCTAAGAACAGGGCTATCGGCTCAGGCCGCTGCTTGCAAGAGGTCTCTGCAAGCTTCCCAAGTGCTGCTCTTCAAGCCCTGCCAGCTGCTTCCTGACCATGCCTCAGGGCCTTTGCACTAGCTGTGCACACTGTCTGGAGGGCCTGCGCCCTCAGCTCCTCACCACACTTGTCACAGAGTGACACATTCTCACTTCCTGAACAAGAAGCCTGGCCAGAACCTGTCTCTAGGGGTGAGCTCACTGACAGCAGTGTCCCAACACAAGCACTCCAGAAATAACCTCCCGGCCTTCCCAACACTTCACCAATTTACTGGAGAGAGGAGAGACCGAGGCCAGACCGAAGGTCTAAGGACACAGGTTCCTTTCTCAGATGTCTCTTACCTGACTCTGAGGGCCCATCCACGGGCCTGGCAGGCACAGGACGGGGGCCTCGTGGGCGAGGGCCTGGTCGAGCCAGGGCCACGGGTCCTAGGAACTCCACATAGGTTCCCGGGAAGTCCCCTCGCTGCCGGGTGCGCTCGTTGAAGCCCGGCATCCAGCCCACGGTGTGTGGGCAGCGCTCCCCTCCGTCCACCACGCCTAGGGCCTGCAGGGCCACCCGGCTCACCACCAGGAGGTCTCCAGGGAGCAGCTCCAGGTCTTCAGGCCGCTCCCGGCGGAATGGGTACACAGCCCTGTACTGGAAGCCCTCAGCCCCTGCCATGGCTGGGCCTGGGGGTGTCTGGACAGTCACGTGGCTCCCGGGGGCTCCAGAGGCCCCATGGGCTGGGACAGGCCTTGTGGTAGGCTTGCAGATCTCTACTTCCGAAGTCACGGGCGACCTCAGGGGCCGCACATGCCTAGCTGGCCATTACCAAAAGCCACTTATCACAGAGTCCACCATTCAGTCACCTGTGCGAGGATGTCGCTGGTGTTCTCTCAGATCATTCAGCTGGTATCCGCCATCAGATGGCTGGGCTGGGATAGGTGGATCACTCCGTCATGAGTCAAGCTGTGGGTATCCAAGCTTGCTGGATCTTCAGAAAGTGCCTGACACCAGATGAGGAGACCCAGACCACGGGCTGCTACCATACTCAGCAGGGACGCCAGCCTAGAGGACATGGACAGGGCAGCGTGAGCCAGGCTGGAACTTCCCAGTGACCTTGGGGCTGGTCTCCATGTAGTGGAGAGCACACTCAGAGCCTTCCTTCAGGGATGCTGGAGCTGAATGTGTCACTGTCCCCACCAGGGATGAGGAAACTCAGGTTCAGACCTCTCCGGAGGACCCCAGTGATAAAGAGGAAGCCAAGTACAGATGCACCCAGGTTCAAGCTCAAGCAGAAACAAAGGCACTGACCACATGGCCAAATAGACTCAGGGGCAAGAATGGTGTCCTGCGGGCCAAGGAGGGACCCCAAGAAGAGTTTGAGCCAGCAGGGCAATGGACATGGCCTTGCAAGAGCTGTGGCCTGGGAAAAAGAAGCCCTGCTCCCCTGCAGGGGACGGACGGATACACAGGGTCCAGGGGTGTCCCCGGCTTGCCTTAGTCTAGGGCTTTCTGGTGATGCGAGCAAGAGAAGGGGTCAGGAACCAACCATGGGCACTTTAGTGCAACAGGAGGATGGGGACTAGAGCTGGCCACCACCAGGGCAGGTTGCAGTGTAGTCACGCTCTCCAGCTGTCCTAGCCTGGGTCCCCATTCCAGCCTGCAGATCAGTCCTCTGTAGATCCTCCCGGGGGACTGAGGGTGACAGGTTCTTGCATGGGGACAGTGCAGAGACAGACTGGTCCCTGCAAAGGCCTGATGGTGGAAGTCGCCTGCCTAGGATGCATAGTGGTTTTCAGAAAGGAGACATCCAATAGGCACTTAGGGGAGGGTCTGGACTTCACCCCCAGATCTGGGGACAAGACGCAGGTGTCCTGTGGGGCACAAGGCTTCATGCCACAGGGACCCAGAGTGACACTATCTGGTCTCTTGTGGCCTGCATGTTACAAGTAGGGAAACTGACGGTCAGAGAGGCCTCTCCTAAGAAGGCCCCCCGTCCGCCCGCCCCCGCGTCTGCACACGCTGGGGGGGGGGGGGTGCCTCGGAACCCCCCCCAATGCAAAAGGTGGGGCCCAGGGTGCACACATAGTCCGCCTGCTTACACACACGAGCGGCTAGACCCTCGTGCACCTCGAATACCCCCCTCCCCGGACGCCGGAAGTGGTCAGACCCGGGGTCGTGCCCAGACGCTCCCCGCCCCAGTGCGGGAGGGGACCTCCCGGCCTTGGAGACCCCGTCTCCGACCGCAGGCTGCACCAGCCCAGGCTCGGCTCGGAGCCGGGTTCCGCGCAGATCCCAGCTCCTCATGTCCCCGCTGCTGCCATCGACTCACCCAGTTGCTGCCGTTGTCGCTACCACCACTGCCGCCGCTGTCGCCGCAGCCGCGGGATCCCTGCGTCAGCCGCCGTCGCCGCGGCTCCAAGCCGCCCGGCCCGCCCCTAGGCGGAAATAGCCGAGCGCATTCGGGTCGGGAAGGCGGTCCTTCCACCGCTCCCCACAAGAGACGGAGCCCGAAGACCGAGGCACGCGGTTACGCTTCCGGAAACAGCCGAATGTACTCCCGCGGGAATAGTCGGCTGTTGTCTGCCACGAGATAGCCGAGGGTGGCCGGAAACAGCCGAACGCCGCCGATTCCAGAGCGCTCCTGGGGCTCCCGGGCTAGCAGGGTCGGAAGCGTGTTCCCTCCGAAGCTGGATTTGGCAGACTCAGCGGGGTTCTGAGAAACCTGAGCCATTCCGGAAACGGCCGAACGTGCTACAGCGAGTTTGTTTTTCACGAAGTTGTGACCCTGCACGGCCGCGTAGCGTGTCTGCAAAGAACCGCTCTCAAATATGGTGTTGGGCGTTGACACTCGGACACTCCGGCAGCTTCTGCACGTTGCCGGAGCACGTCCAGCTCCACCGAACGAACTAGGCGGCCACAAACTCAACAGAGAAGCCGCTTGTGAAAGGACTAGAGGACGGAGGCGTTCCCATGGTAACCCTGGGCGTCCGGAAACAGCCGAAGCGTCTCCGGGAGTGCCGAAGCCCGGAACCTCGATTGTTTCCGGAAATAGCGACAGACTCTGGCAGTTGGGGTCGTGGCTAAGGCGATTATGAGGCGAGGGCGGGGGGCTTCTTCTGGTGTCTCTGGGACTTGCAGGCAAGTGGTGCACATACACATTAAATATCCTTTAAGGGAAAATATAGAAACACAGACTAATCGATGCATTAAATTTTACCTTTTCTTGAGACAGGGTCTCTCTGTATGATGGCATTAAAGGCAAGTGTTACCATGCCCAGCTTTTTTTTTTTTTTTAACTTATTTTTGTGTGTAACTGTTTTCCTTGCATGTGTCTGTGCACCACGTGAGTACCTGGTGTCTGTAAGCCGCCATGTAGGTAGTGAGAATTGAACCTGGTCCTCTGGAAGAACAGCCAGTGCTCGTAATTCTCATCATCTTTTCAGCTCTATTTTTTTGAGACTGGGTCTTTTTATGAGCCCGGGCTGGATTTGAACTCATGACCCACCTGCTTCAGCTACCCCAGTTTTAGGATTACAGGTGTACAGGCGATGCCAGTAAACACTTTTAGAGATAATATTCTGCTCCATTATCTGGTCTGGATCCCAGCCCGCTATGTAGCTGGAATGCAGCCTGGCTTGGATTAAGTGTTTAAGCAAACTCATATACAGTTTACAAAACCCACCTCAGATGATACTGAGCCAACAGTTGTCTATCCCCTACCTTCTCAGTCACTCACAAATGAACACACCAGGACTTGATGTCTTCATGGGCTTTTATTTGATGCCAGCTCCAGGATGGGTGGAGGGCTAGTCATGCACAGCCTTGGTCTCTCTTCCAGCGGGCAGTGCTGGCCGAGGGGCAGGGGAGGTGCAGAGTGGGTTTGAGTGCCTGGAAATCCCCTTGTGGAGTGAGCAGAGCTGGCAGCACAGTAGATGCCTGCTGGGTCACATAGCATTTCGGGGACAACCTGGGCTCTCCCATGACCATGCTCACAGTAGGGCCCGGCAGAGCCTGTCTTGAGCCATTGCGGGACAAGCCTCTGGGACCTCAGCTGCTCGGATCACACAAAAGCTGGCGGGAATCCAGGAGTGCTCAGTGCACCGAAAATGCGCAAGTCGCTGGGGTTAGTCTTGTCAACACAGCAGCACAGGACAGAGTGGGAAGAACATTCCCCAGGGTCACTCAGCACAGCTGGGGTCCTCTGACCAGCAAACTGTGCTGGGCCTCACGAAGACATTGGCTTTGTGGTGCTGGGAAGCGAGTTCACATCACGGTCCCAGCTCACCGTGCGGGGCCTCACACACAGACATTGGCTTTGTGGTGCTGGGGATTCTGACACGACCATCACGTGCGCGGAGAAGCCCCGCTCAGTAGTGGACACCTCTGGAACCTCGAGGGGGCCCTCTGGCTTGTCAGTTACCTCCTGCACCCCTCCTTCAAGCCCCCCCTCACACCTCCCCTAAGCTGAAGCATGCAGAGGAGGGATGGTGTAACGACAGAGAGGGCAGCTGTTCAGAGCACAGCCTGCCCCTGAGCCTCCATCCTCCTGCCTCAGCCATCCCAGTTCTGGGATCACAAGCAGGCGTCAGTACACCCAGCTTCCAGGTCCTGTCCAAACTGAGTAGCTACCAGCTTTGGGGGCCTGCAGCTCGGGTTGGGATGGGGAGACACGGAGACACACACATACACACACACACACACACACCAACACACACTTGGAAGGGACAGGAGACAAACTAGTTGCACTTTGCTTCGCCTTGGCCCAGAGAACAAGGTCTTCAGCCTGGACCCCAGGGGCAAGGCCGAGACAGAGCCTCCTCCACCAGGGCAGACAGCCCGGCTATTGCTTATAAAAAGTAATAAATTAGTCGAGGGCTTGCTATTTACAAGTCTCTGGCAACGCCACCCCAGCCTTCCTGGGGTGGGCCCCTCCAGCCAAGTGTCCCAGCCCGGTGGCCGTGCCCTATCCGGGTGTGCCCGGAATGACAGCTCCTTTCGGAGCTGCAGCCGGGGTGTAGGTCAGTCTTTCGCGGCTGGGCCCGGGTTTCCGTGCACGACCTCTGCACCCTGCACAGCGATCTGGGGTACGGCGCGGGGGAGCTCCTCGTCGAAGCTGACCTCCTGCACGGCCTCCTGCTTCTTGAAGGAGTCCCGGCGCTCCGACAGATGCAGCCTCCTCATGACCACCAGCTCCGCCTCGGCGCCGCGGCCTCGCCGGGCACCGTCCGCGTCCAGCCGCTCACTGGTGCCGAGGCCGAGCTTGTCGGCCGACTGGCCCCTGCGCAGCCTCGGGGAGCGCGCGGGTGTGGGGATGTGCCCCGGAAGGGGCGACGGCGAGCGTGGTGGGGGCGCGGGCACTGGCGGGCAAGCCAGGGGGGACGGGGGAATGCTGCTGGTGGACTTTCGGCGGCCGCTCTTGTGGCGGGGTGGGCCGAGCTTGGCCGCTAGGCCATGCAGTGAGCTGGGGCGGGTGTGGCCAGTGGCTGGAGAGGCCGGGCTGCTGGAGCTTGGGGACACACTGGGTGGGGACGCTGTATCTGTGGGCAACAGGAACAGGTCAGTGTCCCCTCCTGGAGGGGAGAGCTGGACTGACCAACTGGCAAGATCCAATCCTCTTCACTGTTGCTATCTATCCACACGGGGGAGTGCCTTGGCCTAGATCTAGTGAACTCCTACCCATCCGTCAAAGCCCAGCCTCATTTACCCACTCCTCCCAGAAACCTTCTCTGCATCCTCTTTGCATAGTCGGACCCTTGCCCAGATGTGTATCTGGCCCTTAGATACTGGGGACACACAACACGAGGCCACCAAGCTATGCACTCAGCTCCAGCCCAGGCCTGGGCTCCCTACAGTTCCTATCATATACGCACATATGTTCCTATTCCTAGAGCTCCAAGAAGGCGAGGCCAGGCTGGCCTGAACTCTTTTCGTCCTTCTACCTTGTCTCTTAAGTGCTGCGATGAAGGGCGCGGGCCGCCACTCCACCCGCTCCGCCTGAAAGCCCACCCACCTGTGGGGGCGTCGGACGCAGGGCTGCGGCAGGATGTGGTGGGGCTGGGGGACAGGCTGTGGGTGGGTGACCCGGGGAGGCTCTCGCTGGAGGACAGGGAGTGCTGGAGGCCGGAGGAGAAGCTGCGGCTGGTATGGAGCACAGAAGACGGCTTGGAGATCCTCTTGATCAGAGACTTCCGCCTGGGGACGGGCATGGTGACGGTGAGGGAGGCTGAGCGCGCCGGGGCTGGGGCCCCGCGGCCGCCCTGCTCACCGGTCCTGGGTCTCCCGCCGGCGGCTGCGCTTGCTCCTGCGGGCCATCCGGCCCTTGGCCACATTCCTGCGCGCGGGTCCCACTTTGATGGAGGTGTTCTCCAGGGCCGTGGTGCGCAGGGAGATCTTGTTACCGCTCTGCGGAAGGAAGCCAGTCACCTGAGAGCCTCCCGGAAGACAGGCCCCGCCCAGCGCCTGCCACTCAGGTCCCCGCAGCCCCGACCCCAGGGCGGGGAGCGGTGGCTGCCAGAGCCGGCCGGGTCAGAGCCGCTCGGGACACGCAGTGAGCGCGCAGGCGGGCCACGCCTCGCACCTTCAGCAGCAGTTCCACCACGTCCATGTGCACCAGGCCCAGGACCGACTCTCCGTTGATGTGGGTGATAAGGTCCCCGGCGCGCAGGCCCGCCTCCTGCGCAGGGCTGCCCTCCTCCACGCTCTGCCGGCAAAGCACACCGGTCAGGCGGAAAACCCCAAGGACGCTGCCCCGTTTCCCACCGGTGGCGCCATGGGGAGGTGCTGAGGGGAGCAGACTCACCCAGACCACGTGGTGGACCGCGTACACGTCACTGTCGCCCATGTAGACGCGAATGGCGCGCAGGCTGAAGCCGTACTTCTTGCCGGAGCTGTGGATGACGATGGGGGGCCGCAGGTTGCCGCACATGGGGGATGGGTCCCGGCTCGGTGAGGAGTCTCGGGAGGAGGGGTTGGAGGACAGCGAGCGGGGCGACAGGGGGCTCATGAGGGGGCCCCCGCTGCCATCGTCTGTGGAGGGCGGGAGGGACACTGCACGTGGGTCTCTGTTCTCCCACGGGGAAGGGGTGGCGCGCGGTCCCCACCCTGGAGCTCTGTGCACGTGACCAGCTCTGGATCCTCCCCATCCCCACCCCCGCGGCAAAACCACACATCACCTGCGGTGATGATGAGGGACAGGGCGGACACCGAGGCTGATTTGGGCACCCGGCCCCCACTGCCGCCAGGGGCGGCCCGGGGCTTCTCAGGGCCGGGGTCTCTTGGGCCTCCCAGGCGGCGCCCTCGGCCCGCATCCAGGGGCCGAGGAGTGGAGTGCCTGGCGCCGGTACTATTACTCCGAAGGCGGGCATGACTGAGGACAGCTGTGTCGGCTGAGGGACAAATGTGGCTCGTTACCTCCCCACCCCTTCCAGCCCCACCACAACTGCATGAAGAGGGGCAGGCGGGGGAGGCCTGTCTCACCCTCGAAGTCTGTATTTCTGGAGAAACTTCTAGTCCTGTTTTACCAGCCCTCCCCCATAGCCCTCTGGAAAACTCTCCCTGAGGCCTACTTACCAGAAAGGTTGCAGGGCTTGGGTGTCACTGGGGTGGTCGGGGGTGCAGGGTCAGGCTCTCCCAGGATGAAGACAGGCTTCTCGGGGTCAGCAGGCCCTGAGCCTGTCCCCTCATCCTCCGAGGAGAAAGCGAATTTGGGCATGGTGTCCAAGCTGATGGTGCTGAGGAGAGATGGGCTGGGACCCCGCTCCGGCTGACAGGAAGATGGCTGACAGGAGGCAGATGTCCAGGACCTCAGCCTGTTTGAGGGAAGAACTCACGTCACTCACCCATACTTGTGTGCAGAACTCTTATTCAACCCTAAAAACCCAGTGTCTAACTCCCACCCCCAGGCCAGCATGGTTGCTATTGAGTCTGGAACTTGAAGGATAAATGGAGTTTGCCACCATAGTGTATTCTGGATAGAAGTGGACATGGGAGCCAAAGTCAGGTAGTGTTATGGAGCTCAGCAGCTTAGAAGTACAAAGCCGTTAGGAGCAAGGCTGCCAAGGCCCTCCTACATTCAGTTCATTCTCTTCTCCTGGGTCACTTGGAAGCTCTGTCAACACCCCAGCTGCTCCCCGACGTACCGGAGGTCAGTGCTCAGCCGGCGGCCACTGCCCCCTTCGCTGCTCTGCTCCCACCCTTCCTCATGGTCCTCGCTGAAGCTCCTTTCAGCAAAGGTGGGGGTGGGCTGGACAGCCAGGAACTCGGAACTGCTGTAAACCTGTGAGATGTTTTAATGGCACTAAGAAGGGGAACTGTGGCACACACCCGTCACCTCAGCACCCGGAGACTGTGACAGGATGGGCTGCAGAGGAGCCCCTGTCTCAGGACACAAACTAAGGAAACACACAGGTAGACAGACTCAGGGTGCTCTGCCACCCGCCAGCCCACCTTGCTGAAGCGGTGGGAACAGGAGGAAAACTGGGGGATCTCTGTGGACGATTCCTCATCATTCGTTTCATCTTCCTCTGAGCCCAAGTGGCGGTAACGCTCAGAGCGCGCTGCGGGATGAAGGGAGAGAGAGGCAGGGTCAGTTAGGGACACCAGAGGCCCTGGGCTGCACGGGGACAGGAGGAGGCCCAGGACAGGAGCCTGAGGAGAAATCTGCCAGGTGTCTGGGAACCAGCATTTTGCAGCAGATCCAAATCTCAGAGAGAGTCCCGACTGTGCCCACAAAAGCTGTGTGGCCACTGCCAGAAATTCATGCGCCTCAAATGAGGTGTCTCAGCGCCCAGCTCTGAGAGAAACAGACGGAGGGGGGGGGCGCCCACAGGGCCCCCACTTACTGTCAAAGTAGCTGGTGTCATCCTCGGCTTCGAGCTGGGGGACGAACTCCGCCTTGTGTCTCAGGAGCCCCGCCCAGTCCAGGGCCAGGAAGAAGGGGTGCTGCTTCACCTCATGGGTGCCCCCTGCACACAGGCAGGCAGAGGGCTGCACGACCCCACTCCGCAGGCCTCCCCACGGCCTGGTCCCCGGCCCGGAGTGAGCCCGCCCTGCCCCGCCCCCTGCTTACCGGTTCCCAGCCGGTCCATTGGGCTCTGGCGGAGAAGCCTCGTGATAAGGTCCTGGGCGTCCGGGGGAAGGGCCTCGTCTCCCTCTGGCCACATGATCTCATCTGAAGAGAGGGCGGCAGGGCAACCTTTCTAGCACCCTCCGCCAGGATGCCCTGGGCGCCCTTAGCACTGGGGTCAGCCCCCTCCCCCTCTCAGACCCCGTTTGGACGCACCGCTGACCACCTGCCCGAAGAGCTCCTCAGGCGTGTCCCCGAAGAACGGCACGCAGCCCACGAGGAACTCATACAGGATGACGCCCATGGCCCACCAGTCCACCGGCTTCCCGTAGCCCTGGCGGAAGATCACCTCGGGCGCAATGTACTCGGGAGTCCCACACACCTGCAGGGAACGGAGGGGAACGTGGGCGGGCCCAGCTGGGGGCTGGGCGGGGGAGGAGGGGCTGCGGTCCGGCCCTTGGGCTGGGTCACACCTGCTTGTCCACAAACTCTCGGGCATCCTTCTCGATGTGACCTTCGTACAGGTTGGTGGCCATGCTCATGAGGCCGATCTTGGACAGGCCGAAGTCCGTCAGCTTGATATGGCCGAGGGAGGTGATGAGGAGGCTGTGGGCGGGGCCGGGACGCTCAGGCCGGGCGCCAGGGCCGGCTGAGGTCCCCACTGTGCGTACTGTCTGTTTTGTAACCCACTCTCCGGACTAGCTAGCCCACGTCCGCAGGCATGCATACGCTTTTAAAGAAATCTCTCTTCCTCAAACTCACTAGGTCGCTCAGGCTGGCCTTAACCTCCTTAACCGCCTCAGCCTCGTGAGCACCAGGATGACAGGTCATGTCCCGCTATGATCCTATATTTCATGCCTCTTGAAGCTGTATCTACGCCCTAAGTCCCCCAGCGCTGGCTTTCTGTATGCTGTTCATCCACACGGCCCCTCCCGTGTGCCACATCGTGAAGCCTGTGTGAGTCCTGCGGGCGCACATGTGCGGCTACACACCAGTCAAGCATCGGCATACACAGCTGGGGCCAGACAGGACTGCTGAGCTGGGGCAAACAGCTGAGAAACCAGAGCCGTCTGCTTCAGGGACATGTGCTAAACAAGCGAGTGGCTGTCTCCTCTGCACAGTCGGTTCCCAATGTGTGCATCTGGCTCGCCTGCCTTTCTCTCAGCACGTCCCAGCCATGCCGAGGGAGGACGTTTGGAGGCATGGGGCAGCCCTGCGGCCCGCCCCTAGCCCCGCCCAGGCCACCGCGTCCCAGCCCCACGCTCACTTGTCAGGCTTGAGGTCCCGGTGCACGATGCCGTAGTTGTGCAGATACTCCAGGGCCAGCACCGTCTCTGCGAAGTACATGCGCGCCATGTCCACGGGCAGCGGGCCCATGTTCTTCAGGAGCGTGGCACAGTCGCCGCCTACAAAGGGAACTGGGTCAGGCCTGGGTCCCCAAGGCTGCCGAGCTCAGGGAGCAGGGTAGAGCTCTAAGATGGCGGTCGCACACAGCTGGGGCCCACCTAGTGCAGGATCTTTCCTTGTCCAGCGGCCTTCTCACCCGCTAAAGCTCCCTCCCCGCCTGGCGGCCATCCCGGGCCCTCGGGGCCGTCCTCTCTGGACCGCCTAGCTGTGTCAGGGGTGGGAATGGCGTGGGGACACCGCAGCTATGGTCTGCACCTTCCACATACTCCATGACCATGCAGAGGTGGCGCCGGGTCTCGAAGGAGCAGAACATGCCGACCACGAAGGGGTTCTCCGCGAACGTGAGGATGTCGCGCTCCACGAAGACCTGCTGGATCTGGTTGCGCAGGATCAGGTTCTGCTTGTTGATCTTCTTGATGGCGAAGCGCTGCCGCGTGTCCCGGTGGCGCACCAGATACACGGCCCTGTGCACGGGTGGGCGAGGTCACGCCAAGCGGCCTTCGGCGTGGAGCCCGTGCACCAGCGGGGGCCGGGACTCACCCATAGGCTCCGTTGCTGATGAGCTTGATGGTTTCAAAGTCGCCCTCACAGGGCTTCCTCCGGGACGGACCACCCAGGGCTTGGCTCTGTACAAAGACACAACTCAGGGTTCCTCCTCAACAGAAGCTGTCCTCAAGACTGAGCTGACTGACTACTTCTCACTGACTCTTCCTCTCTGTCCAAACTTGTCAAGCCAGTGTGCAAGTTTCTTAGGGTTTTTTTGTTTTATTGTTTTTTGAGGAGAGCCTGTTTCCTGGCAAACTCCTATATATCCTTCAAGACCCACCTATTCAGTGCCCTCTCTAGCCCAGCCCAGACTTGGGACACCTCAATGACGGGGTAGTCCCAATGCAGTCACACCCCTGAAGTCACACTTGCTTACTAAGCATCTATGTCAGCTGTCTACAACCCAGGCCTACCTCAGCTTGTAACTCACCACAGGGGATCCAGGAGCTGGGGGCTGGCCTTCCTCAAGGTCATTCAGGGGCTGGATCTCTGTCAGAGGAGGGAAGATGTTTCTTTTGTGACAGGAATCACTCTCTAGCAAGAACCATAGAATCTTCTGGAAAAGCAATAGCTCGGGCCTTTGCTCTCCAGAGGTTTTGACTGGCAGATAGCAGTGCTTAGTGAGTATCTGGGCATTACCCTATGGTGGCCGGGGTCAGTGTCTTGGACTAGCAGAATGAGGCTGGGACCAGGAGGCTGCGGGAGCAGTGGGTTCGAACCCAGATCTTCCCTGTTCTGGGTCCCCCTCACCTTCCAGCGGGTCCTTGGCGAGGCCCAGCTGGCGGATGATGTAGCGGGGCAGGTCGGTCTTCACACCCTGGTCCTCGCGGGCCTGGCCCTCTGCAGCCTCCAGCAGATGGTAGAATTCTTCCGGGTCGAACTCCTGTGTGGAGAGGCTGTGAGCCACCCCGAGCTCTCACCCGGGTCCCCAGACCCCCAGGACCTCCGGCCTGCGGCTCACCAGGCACTCCAGCAGCCGCGCTGGCCTCGAGATGATGATGAGCAGCTTGCGGACCAGCTGCACGATGAAGCCCACCTCCGCGCTGTCAGACCGCTCGTGAGCCTGAGGGCGGGTGCACCTGACGAGGCCCGCCCACAGAGGCCCCGCCCCCACCCCAGAGGGCGCCGCTAGGGCTCTGCAGACCCCACCTCAAGGGCGTGTCCCGCCGACACCCCGCCCCCTGTGGGCGTGACCACCTGCCAGGCCCCGCCCCCACGCACATCTTGCAGCAGCCGCTCCAGCTTGTCCTGCATCTCCAGGAAATAGTGGGAGGTGACCAGAGCCTCGCCAGACTTGGCCAGGCAGTCTCGCGCCAGCTCCACGATCTGGTGGTGGATGAAGCCCAGGACACCGTCGGCCAGCGCCAAGCGGTCACCAGGGGCAAATGCCGCCAGGAAGTCCTGCAGCCGGCCCTCCATCTGCGCAGTGGCCTGTGGGAGGGCAGAGGTGAGCGGCGCAGGGCCCCGGGGAGGGAAAGGAGGAGGGGGCATAGTAGGGGAGAAGGGGGGCCTTTGGCAATGACAGAAGTGGGCCAGGCTCTGACAGTTGGCGGGTCGGCCGGAGGCGGGCTATGGCCAGACAGGCAGAGGAGGTGACTGACAGACACAGACGTGGGTTGCAATGACGGACAGTGGTGGGTTATCAGGGCCGGGTGGCCTGGGCCGAGGGCGTGGTTCTGGTGAGTGACAGGGCCTGGGGCCTAGCAGTGGAGCAGGCAGGCAGAGGGGGCTGCGGGGCAGGGAGGTCTGCCGCACACCTTGGGGAAGCGCTCCCGGTACACGTGGTTCATCATCACAATCTCATTGTCGAAGGTTCCCGATGTGCGTCCAGGGCTAAAAGGGTGGCAGAGGAGGGTGAGGGACACAGAGGAGGCCCTGGTGGTGTGGAAAGGTCCCAGCCCAAGTCTACCTGAGGCTGCGCGAGCGCGGGCGCAGGCGCGGAGACCGGCCTCCGTCCTCGTCCACCACGCTCTCTGAACTGCGGAAGTGTTTGGACAGGAAGCGCAGCTCGTCTGCCGTGGGCTGGAAGGGAAGCTGGTGTAGACGCTCCCGGGACGATGAGCTTGACTGGGACAAGGACGAAGATCCGGGTCACAGCCTGGATCTGGTACCCCGGTATCCCGCAGGCCCGCCGAGGCCCACTGCAAGCCCTCATGGCCTAGAGGAGGGACCCCGCATGCCAGGACAGGGCATGTGTCCGCCCCGTCCATCCCCCAGCCACCTGGCCAGGGCAGCTGTCAGTACCGACACGGTGGAGCTGGGAGTGTTGGTTCCATAGCCGGAGGATGGGAGAGAAGTGAGCGACCATCTTCTGCCATCAGCCCTGGAGAGGGACAGGGACAGACAGAAGGACAGCTTGGCCCTGTGCTGGCAGGGATTTGCAGCTATGTTGGCAGATTCCCACTTGCTGTTTCAAGGACCCTCCAGCCAGCCAGGTCCACTGCCTCCACGAAGCCCTCCCTGATGCAGTGCCACCCACGTTTTGGCCTGTCAGTTGTTACTTCTGAGGGATCCTAGCCCCCAAGCAATGCAAGGACACTTCAAGGGGCAGGCTTCAGACCCCTGTCCCTAGGCACAGCCTCAGCCCTCAGCACAGGCTGCTCGATACTTGGTGAAATTGAAGGCCGGGCACACACCATGTCAGTTCTTGGTTAGTGAACAAGGAGGCTGTTAGTGAGTTAGTGATTTCTGAGCCGCTGCAGCCCCCTCTTCCTTCACAGGACTCTTAATTACCTGTCAGCATGAGAGAGGTGGCTGTGTAGTGCCAGGTGTTTGCCAGGGCAGAAGCCACAGGGAGTGACCACCACCAGACAGCCAGGATGGAAGGGGCCGAGGGAGGGGAAAAACAGTCAGTGAGGGGCAGGTCTGGCCGAGTGAGGCACACTGTCCCTGGCAAGGCCAGGATGCTCACCTCCGGGCAAAGGGGAAATTGATGGCTGCTGCAGCAGAGAAGTTCCGAGGACTGTCCAAGGGGCTGTTACCTGCTGAGGGGAGGTGGGAAGCCGTCAGGGTGGAGCTGGGTCCCAGCCACCCGCCCGGATCTCCCCCACTCACCAGTCGGGACTGATAGTGGTGACAGAGGCCTGGACAGAGTGGGGGAGGGCGTTCCCACGACTAGGCTCTTGCGGTTGCCGCTTCGGCAGCTGTGGAAGGACAACAGGATTAGACGGCAAGCTGAGGGACCAGACGGCCATACGCAGCTGGGGTGTGCTCAGGCTGGCTGCAAGTTGAGCCAGACCAACCACAATTTTTTTCTCGGTAGGTCCTTTTAAGGGTCATGGGCAGGAGCTTCTGAGAGCCACTGGGAGTACCCCTAGGCAAACACTCCTATTGTTGTTGTTTGAGACAGGGCTTCTCTGTGTAGCCCTAGCTGTCCTGGAACTTGCTCTGTACACCAGGCTGGCCCTGAACACATGAACTCAGAGATCTGCCTGCCTCTGCCTCTGCCTCTGCCTCCCAAATGCTGGGATTAAAGGTGTGGGTGAACATGCCTGGCTCAAACATGGCTTATTTTTGAGACAGGCTGGCCTGGGAAAGAGACAGAGGATGCCTCTCTGCCTGACCCCCTGGGATGACGCATGGGTCAATCTGTTTCAAACTTCCTTTCCTATCCTCATTACCAATGTATAACAGAGTGCGAGAGAACCTGACCAGCCTCTCGGGGACACTGGCACGTGACCTGGAAGGGCACAGTGACGGGATTCCTAGCCTTCTTCCTCCCCAGCCCCTAGCCCTGCATCTTACACATGACTCCTGCCAGGCACACCTGAAGCCAAGTGGAGAACACAGGAGATGCCCCAGAGCCTGTGGCAGTGGGAAGCCAGCTTCTCTCTACCTCTCTGTCACTGTAAGCTGCTGTCCCCACCTTCCCAAGATCCTGCCAAAGAGCAAATGCATCCAGGTGTGCTGTCACACTTCATGAACCCCAAGTTCTCTGTGAGCTGAAGGCCAGCCTGAGCTACATACGAACAACAAAAAGCTAACTTGATGCAACCAACGAGCACAGAGTGAGCATGGTGATTCTCAGGCCACCTGCCCTGACCCCCAGCCCAGGTCTTTGGCCCCTTCTGCCTACCAGGCCTTGAGCTCCGCCTCCACCTTGGCAGCATTGAAATCACTGGGTTCCTGCCCTCCTCCCAAGCCCTACAGTCACCCAGCAACAGCGGCTCTGACAGACGACAGGAACGGCCCACACAGCCCTCCGCCAACGCAGCTCTGCAGAAGTGTCAGGGAGGGAGCGACAGGCGGGGCCCGAAGGAGGCACAGAGGGTTTGGGGTGATGGAGGGGCACAGCTTACAGGCCGAGACAGGAGGCGTTGCAGCAAAGGGCACAGGCAAGAGGGTAGCAGGGAGCCAGGCCCAGCTATCTCCTGCTGTGGGAGCCTCTGTTTCCCCATCAGGACACCCAGAAGGTGCAGAAAACCATCACACCTCGTGAGGCTGGCCTTGGGGGACCTATGATCTCAGAGCCTGGCTGCAGGAGACCACCAGAGTCAGCTAAGCCACAGGTGTGGACTCAGTGCCAACCAGCCCTGAGCCAAGGGACCCACCAACTGTGCCTGCTCCCCACACGGGGAAACCAGTGCTACCAAGAGTGGGTAGAACTGGTCCCTCGGCTGAGCTGTGGGTGCAGCAGCGGAACCCAGAGGTCCCTGCAGGACTTCCTGTTGCTCCCTCCCCCACACACACATGACACACTGGCTCCCACATCCTCTCCCTGCCCCGGCCGCCCCACAGTCCTGCAAGTGTGGCCAATGAGATTGTGTGGTTCCTCTCCCCATGTTTCCAGGCAAGGCCTTAAAAACAACCAAGTTGGGCCTCTGAGAGAGCCCGGGATCGTCCGACTGGAGCCCACATTAAATGCCAACTGCTTTCACAGCTCTGTGCACACCCACTCTAAAAGGTGGGTGTGCCATGTGGAAACGGGCACCATTGAGGCTTTGGACTCAGCACTCAGGTCCTTGCAACCCAGACTCTGCCTATCTAGGCAAACATAAACATAGAGAAACCCAAGCACAAAGATGTTGAATCACACAGCATGGTAAAAGCTACACTCCAATTTGAACCTGGGTCGACGGTTGGGGATCCACCTCTCTGTGCCTCACAGAGGACCTGGGCTGAGGAAAGGCCAGGCATGCCTTGGCTGCAGACCTGCCACCCACTCGTCAGCCTGGGCCGCGAGTATTTGCATCTGCGCCAACATTTCCGCTGAGTGCTCGGCATAGAGCGATTCATTCTTCCCAAATTCCTCGCTTTGCGCGCCCGAGTCCCAGGTTCGAATCCCGGGCGTCCCTGCTCGACCCTGCGCCCGGAGCTGTCCCTACCTTTTGGAACGCTGTAGCAGCGCACCCTTGGCCAGGCGGCTGCGGTGTCCGGGGGCCGCCACCGCGGTCCAGTAGCTGGGGTCCGACATGCTGCCGCCCTCCGCCTGCCGGGGCCACGGCCGGATCCACCAGATTGGGCCTGAGCCCGGTGGAGCGGCCGAGTGGCCGCGGGCTACAAGGAGCGCGCGCGGCGGCAAGGAGGAGGCACTGCAGGGGGCCCCGCCCAACGGAGGGGCGGGGCCTGAGGGGGCGTGGTGTCGCCATGGAGGAAGGCGGCTGGGCGTGGCGTTACCAGGGTCCTTCACTAAGAAACCTTTGTTGCTACGGCTCTGCCGGAAGCGCTGGGAGGGAAGCGCAGTTAGAACTCGTGTGTCGGTGCCCAACGTTGTCAGGGCCTTGAGGGACGGCGCGGGGCGTTGCTAGGGCCCGGAGCCACGGAGCGGGGCGTAATGGACGTTGCTAGGGCTCTGGGGCGAATGTGGGTGTTGCTATGCACCTCAGCAGCACTTGGCTAAAGCTTTGCTAGGGTTCTGAGCAAGGGGGCCGGAGTCACCTGGCCGCTGCTAGGGCTCTGGGCGGTGAAGGCGGGGCGTCGCTAGGACCACATCAGTTGGGGTGGGGCGTTGCTAGGGCTTATACCAGCAGCGGCAGGGTGTTGCTAGGGCCGGCGCGGCGGGGTGGGGTTTCGGCGGCACCGGAGCAGGCTGCGGCGGGTCTGTCCCCTGTGCCCAGGGTATCAACCCGGCCTGGCGCTGCCCCTTCCCTTCCATTCTGTATAATGCTTGCAGTGAGCGCAGCGTGGTAGCTACACGCAGATGCTGCGTGCATGGCCGCGAAAGCCATTACCAAAAGTGAAAAGGCGCACACACTAGATACCAAAGGAAGAAGTCCTTCTCTCCCAAGTAGTAGGTAGCGAGTGGGGGCCATCTGACAGCACCAGGATCCCTGGGCCAATAGATACATCGGATCCCAGTCTTACTCAGATCTGAAGCCCAGACCCCATGTCTGAGACAAGCAGATAGCCGAGGAGGCTGAGGCACAGGCGCCCAGGGTGTCCCCAGTCCATCCCTCTCCTCAAGTCACCCCCAGACTGCCACATTTCCTCCAGTGTCTCTGCCACATCGCCCACCCTGTTGGCTGGAGCAAACCCATATTCAGTCATTCATTGACTTGATAAACATTTATTGAACACGTATAGTTTCCCTGCCTGTGGGGTGACCCTGGAGTGGGTGGGCTTTGATCTGAGATTGGAGATGAAGAATAAACCGGAAACAAATGAAGAATTTCAAAGAAACAGGGGGCATAGCTTAGCTGGCAGAGTGCTTGCCTGTCATGGAGGAAACCCTCCGTTCCAAAGCCAGCCCTCACCGCACTTGGAGTTGATGGCACACGCTTGTCAGCACAGACTGGAGAAGATGGTGCTCAGAGCCAACCACACAGGCTGCATCAGGATTGGGCTTACTGAGAGCAATGCTTCTGCAAAGCAAAGACCATTTACAAGTTGAAATGGAGGTTAAGCCTCCAGTGAGAAGCTGGTGGCTTCCAGGAACAAAAGCTGAGGACCACCTTGTGGCAGGCCCTGCTGCAAGTGAGTGGGCTACCGTTTGTGTGTTTTGAATCCCCAGGACAGGGCCTGCAGCAGCCAAGTGTGACAGGGAGGATTCCACTGGCCACTTATGACTCCAAGTGTCAGGTCTGAGTCCCATCCAACATCTCAAAGCCTCCTGACTCTGGCGAGAGAGCCCCGGCTTTATACACCTCCCCTCAGGAAGAGCCACCCACTGGTCCTCGGGCCTGGGCACACTCCTCCACACACCCATTGCCCTGGTGGACCAGTTAGCCCATTTCCCACCCTGAAGAACTGGGCTACGCTAACCACCCAGAGTGCCTGGTGAGGCTGAGAACACAGGACTCCCTGCTCACACACTCTCTTGCAGTGCTAGATAGAACCCTCTTGGGGCAGGGCTCACCACCTGTGACCAGCTCGGGGAACTTGGCCTTGTCTCTCTGCTGCTGCGGCTTAAATAGCAAAGCCCTAGGTGTGTCTCGTCTCATCAACCCGTCCTGTGGCCGCTCCCCACACCAAAGGGCTTGACCACCCTTCCCCACACCCTGAATGCCCTAGGTGAATCTACATTTCATATTCCAAGGCCCTGGGGTAGTCTTCGTCCTATAGACACAGGTGGCCTTTGACCCTGAAGGACAGCAGAGCCCCTTTACCTGCTTCCCATTCACCGATACCAGAGCATCAAGTAAACACCTGCTGCACACCCTGCCCTGCCCTGCCCATACAGTGTGAGCAGAAAGATTCAGGCCAAGCCTTTGAGGCTCTCTCAAAGTCCTAATTACACAGAAAGATGGGAGCTCAGTCAGCACTGTGCACTCCTTCCACCGACACTAGGGAGGCTGAGATGGGAGGATCACCGAAAGTTTGAGGCCCAGGTTGGCCTACAACCTAAGCTGTACAAAAAAAAAAAAAAAATGTTATTTCAAAAACTCAGGGACCAGAGCCAGACCTGGTGGCACAAACCTTTAATCCCAGCACTCGAAGTCAGAGGTCTACAGGGGCCAACCTGGTCTCCAGAGCGAGCTCCAGGACAGCCAGGACTACACAGAGAACCCTGTCACAAACAAACAACAAACAAGAAGGAAAGAAACAAAACATGGCAAGCACCGCTCTGCTAGGGCCCAGCTGTGAGGCTGGGTGTGCAGGTGGAGAACACGCGGATTAACTTCAATTCGGCAGATGTGATGAAGGCCTTCGACCAAGAAAAGAAGGGAGTGGACCTCCACAGCCCTGGGCAGGACCTGCCCGCACTCTGGAGGATCCGCTAAATGAGGGGACGGACGAGGAGAGGGCCGGAGGGTTGCACAAGATCTGAGACCTCGGGGATTATGGAACACAAGAGGACCTGGGTCAGGAGGGCTCTTTCATACTGAGGTATAAAAGGTTTGCACCCTGTTCCAGGACAGCGGCATGAACCGGGGGCCTTGTGGCTGTCAGCAGAGTGGCTCTGCTGCCCTCTGGTGGTGACTGCCTGATAGCCTGGGCTCCCGGCCCCAGTAGAGCCTCCATTTCTTCCAGGTATAACCTGTTCAGTCACTTGCAACCCCAGCCCGCCCCAGCCCGTGGAACCTCCCTCTCGATTGCCCTCCTGCGAGAACCAAGGACCCAGAGACCCGTCGGACCTCACACTGTCTCCCTGGGCCCCTGGGCTTCCTCCACCGACTTTCAGGAAGTGTGGTGATAGAGGTCCCCACCTCCCCTGGGCAACCAGCTTACCTCCAGATGTTTTCCTAGTCCCCACAGACTGCACTGCCCTCAAAAGGAGGCTAAATGACCCCATCCTGCCTCAGGACTTCTGCACAGACATAGACCTAGCTGCTAACCTTCGCCTAGCCCTGCCCACGGCTCCAAACAACCTTCCAAAGGGTCAGCATTTAAACACATCTCATTATTCATTCATTTGTTCCCTGGCCACCTCCTCCAGCCAACTGAAAGCTCTCTGAGGGAGATGTCATTGTGGATCACTGCTGTGGACTTCCACTGGCACACTGGTAGATGCCTCGTGTTTGCCCATTGGAATTCAGTGTGAACTCCACAGTATTGTGTGTCTTCTCCATTCAGAATCTACGGAATGTACCGAGCAGCTGATTCATACTAAGGTGTGAATGGTTCCCATGTAAGTCAAGACTCTTGACTTTCGCATGGATAAGCCTCCGAAACCGGAGGGAGCCCTGGAGGGTGGTGCTGAGTTGGAGTAGGGTGTGGTGGCCCATCTGGGCTCCCAGACTTATGGATTCACAGCAGGCCTGTCGTTGAGCCTCACTTTCCTCACGGGAACGTGATCAGGGCAGAGCTGGCCCTTGGTGAGTTGGCTACTTTCGGTCTGTTGCGGCCCCGTTGGGCTTGTGTGTGAGCAGAGGGAGTAGTTTCCGGCGGGTCCCTAAGGCCACCGCCTGGCAGGACCCTGGGAATCCAGCACCTGTCTTGGGAAGTCCTTGGGCTCAAGTTCTGGCCTCGCCTTTGACACCTGTACAGCGCCAGCCTGCAGCTGGGTGCTCCCGCGGGGTGCGGAGCCAGAGATGGGGTGACACTGAGGCCTGAGGCGGCCAAGGGGTGTGAAAGGCCCGGGAGGAGGGCGCGCGTGCGGGGCGGCGCCACTCACCTCCAGGGCTGCAGGCCCAGCGACGGGCTGCAAGGGCTGCACGGGCTGCCGGGGCTCAGCAGGCATGGGCTCTGGCTGCTCGGCGACAGACTGCAAGACAGAGGCGGCCGGTGACTCCGCGGCGACCCGGCGCGACCCTCGCGGGCTCCCGGGGACCGCACCGCGGCGCTCAGGCCTCGGTACTCACTCGAGCGTCAGCGCGGGGATCAGTAATTTCTCCCTGCGGGATTTCATGGCGGCGCCGCGGGAACCGACGCCGGGTGACACCGGGCGCGAGCAGCTGGGACTACGGATAGAGACGCGCGCACCGGCGGCTGGCGGGGGCGGGGCCACGGGCCACGGGGCGGGGCGGCAGGTGGGCTGAGGGGCGGGAGTAAATAAGGGGGCGGGTCTACAGGGCGCGGGTGGGGCTATGGTGAGGGCAGGGTTACGGGAGGGGGCTATGGTGGCGCGGCCAGGCTTCCGCTGTGTAGGCAAGGCTATAGAATGCAGGGCGGAGCCAGGGAGGTTAGGGCAAGTCTGAGGAAGAAAGGCGGACTATAAAGGGGCGGGGCCTACTATTGCTTAGCGGGATGCGGTTTCCGGCCTGTGGGGCGGGGCCTCACAGAGCGCAAGATAAACAGGGAGCAAGGAAGCAATTTGCAAGACTCTGCGCCCGCGGGGGTGGGGGCGGGGCCTCCTCCTGGGCGGGGCCTATCTGGAGGCGGGACCACTAAAGAACTCTGGTGGTAGGCGGGGCCAGAGGCGGAGCCTTGAGCCCAGCTACTGGGCGCGTGCGCACTAGGGCGGAGGGACCTACGCGCGCGATCGGGGGCTGCATTGTGGCCCTCTTTGGCCGGTTTCTAGGACTCTCAGCCCGCTTAGCCACGTGTCAGAAGTGAAGGGGACCTAAGCCCTGCGGACCGGGAGCTCCCACCCGCGATCGCATCCTCCCATCGCCGTGCCCCACAGACCTACCCCTTGAGAAACCACGGTCGAGTCACAAACTACACGGGTGGCGGCGCTGGCAGCTTCCCGGGGACTCCGGCCCTCACTTTACCCTCGAGGTCGGTGCACTACGCTCCTGCCGCCCCCGGTTCGCACAGCGCACTCGGACCAAAGTCCGGCTCCGCCCCAGCCCAGCTGTAAGGCGCATGACTTGAGAGCGGCGGAGAGTCAGTTGTTCGTGTCTCTACCTCACCTAGCTGCCCCTCTCGCCAATGCCAAGGCAGTCCCACCCTTGCAGCGTTGCCCACGTCGGTCTGGAATGCCATTGCCCCCACACTGACCGTCCTGTCCGCCTTCCCCCACCTCACCCCCCACCCCGCTTGTTCTCTCCAAGATCAAACCCCACCTCCTGCAAACACCCAGCGCCTCTCAAGTTCTTTCTGCTTAATTTCCCCCGAGCACATTTCACGCTTTGTGCCGCCATTGAAGAACCCGGACGCCAGAGGGGCTGAACTGTCTCACTCCCCTCTTTCTCCAAAAGGGAGAGCCCAACACATCGTAGGTGCTCAAAAATTCTGGAGATTCTCAGGCTCCAACTGAGGCACGAGGAACCTGCAAAGACGGGCGTCCAAGGCTGTCTGCTCCCAGGACGCGAACAGGAGGCGAGCCCCTCCCCCAGGCGTTGTTTATCCATCTGTAAACCCGAGACGCGCAGGACTACATGTTCTTTGAGCTTCGGAGCTCCCTGGATGATACCAGCCCCAAGGATTCTGTTGGTGGGCGCCGAAAGGAAGCGAGTCCTTGTCACGCAAGCCCATTCCAATGTACTGGGTTAGAAGTTGATATTTAGTAAACCCCCACCTTTGTGCTGAGGGTCGAATCTATTTATTTATTTGTTTGTTTATTTATTTATTTATTTATTTATTTATTTATTTATTTATTTATTTATTTATTTAAGGGGTCTCGCCTCCGCATGCCTGGAGATCTCAGAGCCTTTACACAATGAGTCTTTGACCTTCGAATCTTTGAGCAAGCCTTCTATAGTGGAGTTACACCCCCAGCTACTGCCTCTGGGGGTGGGCTGCAGAGTCTCACGTAGCCCAGGCTCGTTTTAAACTGTCAGTCTTCCTATCTCAGCCTCCTGGATGCTGCTAGGATCAGACTCATGAGCCACAGGACTATCAAGCATACTTTGGCTGGATCCCAAGGTGGACAGTGTTCTTTTAAGAAACAAAAAAAGGGAGGGAGATGCTGGAGAGAGGGTCAATGGTTCAAGTGGTTGCTGTGCAGGGTGAGGACCTGCTCAGGTCCCTAGTGCCTATGTAAATGCCAGGCGGCACTAGTGGCCCACCTGTAATCCCAGCCGTGGGAGGAGATGGGATTTCCGGAGCAAGCTGCAGAGCTCTGGGTTTAATTGAGACCATGCCTCAAAGAATCGAGTGGAAGACCACTTTTTGTTTTTGTTTTGTTTGATTTTGTTTTCTGAGAGTGCTCATGCGCTCACACAGGAAATGACAAAAGAAACGGCAGTGCTGTATTAATCATTGAATAAATTACTCACCCGCGCCCCCGTCTCGGAAGACTCAGCTCCTTCTGAAATGAGACAGAGAAAGTGGGGTCAGCCGGGCACAGTGGTGCACACCTTTAATCTCAGCACTTGGGGAGGTCTAGGCAGCTGGATCTTTGGGAATTCAAGACCAGCCTGGTTTACAAAGCAAGGCCAGGACAGCCAAGGCTACACAAAGAAACTGTCTTGAAAAACAAGAGCAAAACTACAAAAAAATGGGATCAACACAGGAGGTTTCCCACCAGCTATATACACCTCAAAATCAGCATGTCATGGCCCACCTCAGTCCAAGGCCTCTTTCCTGCCCGCCCCACCCCCATGGTCCTCACACCGAACTGGACTTTCATGCTCTTCAGCTGCTTAGTCCTTGCTCTCATCTGGGGCATTCCCAGCTGGCTCCCAGGCTGAAGCGCCTGACCCTGCCAGTGTGTGTGTGTGTGTGTGTGTGTGTGTGTGTGTGTGTGTGTAAATATATATATTTGGGGCCAGTAAGATGGCTCAGTGGGCAAGGGTGCTTGCCGCCAAACCTGAGTTTGATCCTCAGAACCTGAATTGTGGGAGGTGGGAACTGACCCCTGCAAGTTGCCCTTTGACCTCCACAAGTGTTTGTGTGTGCTCAAACATGAGATAAGTAAATACGTGTAATGAAAACAATAAAATAAAAGAAGAAGAAATGAAGGAAGGGTCAGAGGATCACATCTATCCTCCAGGTGCTATCAGACCAAGGCAGGAATATCTTGGTTCCAGCCTGGGCTACAGAGAAAGACTTGTCTCAAATAATAATGATAATATACACAATTAAGTACATAATTCTGTGCCAGGTCTAGTGGCACACCTGTGTCCTCAGTACCCCAATCTAATTCCCCAGGCCACCAGAGCTGATGAAGGTGTGGGACATTATTAGAGTTACCCTTTGAGAAATCAAAATAATTGGTCTGTACAAACTCTGCTGACTCCACTGCGCACAGGCAGAAATGCCAGCCAACGGCTCCACTGGGACCCCAGGGTGCATCCTGAACATGTGGTTTTGTTCATGCGTGTGCGTGCATGCGTGCGTGTGCGTGCATGCTTGTGTCATGGCTTTTGTGACAACTTGCATCTCTTTCAGTGTGGACCTCACAAAAAGAGACAGGCGTAAGCTCTGTGGCAGCTGGCCTGACCGGCTGAGCCATGTAGCTGACCGGCTTTCTTTTTGTGACAAGCTCTCTCTGTGTAGTTCAGGGTAGTTTGGAACTCATGGTGATTCTCCTGCCTCCGCTTGCACAACCACCTGCTTCAGGGAGATTTTTTTGTTCTTCTGTGCAGGCCTTGCAATTGCTTTAGAAATGCTCTGCTCTCGGTTTTCCCACCTGAGAGGTGGTTTAACATCAGGAAGACTGTGCTGATAACAAGGGGACATTACTGTTGGCTGTGGTGGTTCCTGTTCTGTTCAGCCCAACAGTGGCCTAAGCAAAAACTGTCCCTGTTATGTCTCCTTTACTGGGCCTCTGTTGTAAACACGGGGAAACTGAGGCACAGGCAGAGTGGGATAGCACTACCCAGATGGCCCCAGCCCAACAGACACGCTCTTTGGGGCGGTCCCTTTGGGGACTATTTTTACAATGGTGGGCCCCAGACTACCCACATTGCTAGGCGGGTGTTTGCCATAGCAACCAGTGACGTGTCCCCACAGCCAATAGGAGGGGGTGGAAACTGCCAGGCACTGGCCGGCTGGGCGGCAAGGGGCTAGGAGAGGGGAAGGGATGGGCCTCTGCTGTGCTCAGGTCCCTCAGCGGCTCCTCTCGCCTGGTCCACTCATGGAGTGGGAAAAGGTGAGGTGTCTTACACCAGCTGCCCCCACTACCAAGCCAGAAACAGAATCTGAACTCAAGGGTCCAGCCTGGAATCCCCAGTCCTGGCCATTTTCTTCGAATCTGGTGGTGCTGCTGTGTGGCGTAAGCCAACCAGCCTAACCTCTCTGTCCCAATTAACTGGTTTAGCCAACAGCGGGCTACATGGAGGCCCAGCGCCTGCGAGGACAGAAGTTTAGTCGCACCCCCAAGACACAAAAGGACTTCAGGTGGAGGGGGGGCAGGCCCGGAAAGCTCCCCGGAAGTGGCCCACGATGTCCCCGCGCCATCTGCTTTCGCAGCCCCCTCCACAGCTGCTCCTGCGGCAACTCCCACACGGACGCCCCGCTACTGGCTGTTATTTCTTGTTCCTGGGGCCTCTCTCTGCAGACTGAGAACCTGGAACTCGCCATCCGCCTGCCTCAGCCTCCCAGGTGTTGGCATCACAGGCGCCTCCTTGGCCCTCTGGGACTGCTGTATTGTGTTGTTTTTGAGGCAGTCTCTCTTGTAGCACAGGCTAGCCTGGAACTCCTCACCCTCCTTCTTTACTTCCTGAATGCTAGGTTGGCTTGTACTGCACTTGCTTTATGTGGTAATTGGCCAAGGGCGTCATGCATGTTAAGCAAGCATGCTACCAACTAAGATACAACCACCCAACTACTGAGTCACAAGCACCCTACCAACTGAGCCTCAAGCACTGCACCCACTGAGCCTCAAGCACTGCACCCACTGAACTACAAGCATTCTAACACCTGATGCACTCTACCAACTGAGCCACAGCAGGTGGATCTCTGTGAGTTCCAGGCCAGCCTGGTCTACAAAGTCAGACCAGGACAGCCAAGGCTACACAGAGAAACCTGTCTCAAAAAAACAAAACAAATAAGAAGTTGAGATTAGGGGTTTCTCATAGATTAGCACCCCAGAATTCAGCCTCAGCCTACAGATCACCCAGTTTGGAGGAAGCAGACCTGGTGGTGGGTCACTCTGGAGGGTTCTAACCCTAAGCCAGGGTCGACACCATGCAGGGCCTGGCTGGGCGCCTACTTCCTAACTGAGGAGACTGAGGTTCTGACAGCAGCCAACACTGTGAGGAACAGCCAGGGCCTGGGTCACTCTGGGACCCCAGAGTGACCTACCTAAGGAGGATTTGGCTTTAGTTTTTGAATCACAGTCTCACTCTGCAGCCCCAGGAGGCCTCAGAACTCAGGCAATCCTCCTGCCTCAGCTTCCCAACTCCTGCAACACTAGACTTGCACCATTGCCATTACAAAGATCCAGTTCGAGGGGCTTCCTAAAGAAGGTGGCTAAATAGACTGGGGAAGGGTGGGGAACACCCCAAACGGACCGTCCTGTGCCTCGGGAGAGCACTGCCTGCATTCGGCTACCCCAGAGCTTGAGGCGGGCCAGTCTGATCTACACAATGACTGGATCTGAAGTTGGTGGCCCTCACCTGGTGCGCACAGTCTGGGGCTCTACGCCCAGTGACACCAGCAGCCAGGTCTGTTGGCTCTCTGGAGGAGACAGGAGGGTAGCCGTTTAAAGCCAGTCTCATCTGCAGAGACTCTGCCTCCAACACTTATGAATGGAGGCTTTGACTGCCAGCATCAGCCTATAAGAACTCTGGCTGTCACAGGAACTCATCACGGGAGTCGGAGATGGCTCAAAAGGTTTGGCCGACCTAAGGGGAAATAAGGGCCTGAACTTCTGAGCACAGTTTTGTGCCATCCTGAGCTAGCCCGGAGCTGCTTATGTAGCCCAAGCTGGAACTTGCGGTTACCAGTGTGGACCAGGCCAGGCCAGGGCTAGAATAGGGTTATTTTGTTTGTTTGTTTGGTTGGTTGGTTGCTTTTTTTTTTTTTTTTTTCGAGACAGGGTTTCTCTGTGTAGCCTTGGCTGTCTTGGACTCACTTTGTAGACCAGGCTGGCCTCGAACTCAGAGATCTGCCTGCCTCTGCCTCCCAGAGTGCTGGGATTACAGGCATGGGCCAGCACGCTGGGCTAGAATAAGATTGTTAATGTCATCCTACTCTGGCCTTTAATCCAGTGTCTCTGGCTAGCAGATTGGATCATCCCCTGCCCCAGTACCCCCAGCACCTGCCCTGGCTCCCCATTGCCTTGGTACCAAAGTTAAGCTTTCTTTCTTTTATTTTCTTTCTTTCTCTTTCTTTCTTTTCTTCCTTTCTTTCTTCTCTCTCTCTCTCTCTCTCTCTCTCTCTCTCTCTCTCTCTCTCTTTTTCTTTTTTTCTGAAACAGGACTCCTCTCTAGATACTGTTAACTTGCTCTGTAGACCAGGCTGGCCTCAAACTCACGAAGATCCACCTGCCTCTGCCTACTGAGTGCTGGGATTAAGCGTGCACCGCCACTCCTGGCTACAGGGTCTGATCGCCTTGCACACCCCTCCACTCCCTGCAGCCAAACCACCGCCGCCTGATCCTGAGAACCGCTATCCTTCTCCGGGCCTCAGTTTCCCCGTGTGTAACGTCGGGCCTGTTGTCTGGAGCTGTTTACCCACCGCGTGGAACAGGTCCCGCTGTTGACGTCAGCCGCGCCCCCGTTCGCTCACCCGGAGGCGGTGTCTCTATTTTAAGAGGCCGAGGGCGGGCTCGCAACTAACTGGGGCCCGGGCGACACCCACCGCGCGCCAGCCCCACCCCAACTCCCGCCTTCCCGCCTGGGTCTCCGCTCTGCGTCTCCCTCGGGGGAGGGGGACCCGCCCCACTGCACCCCCCTCAAAGCAGCTTTACTTAATCTTCACTTCCCCAAACTCCGCTGCCCTGTGGCGGCCTCCCGGTCACCCTGCACGGTCCGCGCCACCTGCACCAGCCTCGGGTCGAAGGCAGCTGGAGCTTCGCACACAGCAGGCGCTCAATAGATGCTCACAGGAGCTCAGTAGGGGGCCGGTGGCTGTGCGGATCCCCACGGTAAACCTGCTGGACGCTGCTGGACAGCAGGTGGACAGAGGGCGCAAACGGACGCTCCCCGGCCCTCCCCACTCCCTGCCTCAGGAGGATGGGGAAACTGAGACCAAAAGAAGCAGGGCGTCGCCTCCCAGAGTCTCCTAACCAAGAGTGCCCTGGACTTGCACTCTGATCACCCCACACCCACGTTCCCGCTTCCCGGAGGCGAAAACGCGGTAAATAGGGAAACTGAGGCTCCGAGAGGCCACCACACTCACACACCCTGCAGGTCCTTCGTTGTCACAGAGGTCTGTGACCCTGAAGAGAGAGAATCCCAGCCAGACAAATTCGGGGTGGTGGCTTCCCTGGCCAAGAGCCTGGGTTTCCCCATCTGTGGAAGGGACCGGAGGCAGGGGACTGGCCACTAGTGGCGACCCTGGCCGGCGGCTGGGCTCTGTCCAGCTCAGCGGCTGCGCACACTGGAACTCGGCGCCCTTCGGCCGGTGTGCTGCGGGCACCCTCGAGTTCCTTCTCCACGCGCCAGGGGCTCAGCCTCAATTTCCCCATCTGTCTAACGAAGATCTCCTCTCTTCCCACCGTGCGCAAAGAGCTCTGGGCAGCAGGTGGACGCTCCCCGGCCCTCCTCACTCCCTGCCTCAGTTTCCCAGCGGGAACGCTCTGTCCGCGCTCCCGCCCCGCACCCGGCCTCACCTGGAGCCCACGGCGCCGCAGGAGGCTCGGCTCGTCCATCTCTGAGTGTCCCCGCGGCCGGCCCCGCCCCGACCCCAGGCCGCGGGCCCGCCCCCGAGCGCTATTGGTCCTCCCGGTCAGCTGACGCCTGGGGCCCCGCCCCTCCGGCCTCCACCGTTTCGCAACTTTGGGAGCTGAGGCTCGGAGAGGTTCGGCGGGAGCTGAGGCCACACAGCTTGGCGTCTGGCGCGGCGCTCCCCTTGACACAGAACTGAAGCAACTGTCCCAGACTCCCTATTTAAAGAAAAACTTGGGTGTTTAAACGTCTTTATTATTTTTGGGGTATTTTTTGGACAGGGTCTCATTAGCCCAGGCTGGCTTGAGATTCCGTTGGTGGCTGCAGACGACTCGGAACGCCTGATCCTCCTGCCCCCAGCTTCCCAGTGCTGAGGTGACAGGTGCCGCCACAGCCGAACTTGCCAGGTGCTGGGCTCGAGCCCCAGGCTCCGTGCATGCCAGGCCTGTGTGCTGGCAGCTCCACATCATGTTTCCTGCATTGCTGGGCATGGAACTCCGCCCCGCACACTCAGCCCCTCCGCTGGGACCCCTCCGCTCGGACCCCTCCGCTCGGACCCCTCCGCTCGGACCCCTCCCGCTAGGACCCCTCCGCTCGGACCCCTCCCCAGCCAGCTACCCGGAATTTTAAAAGCTGTGTTGCCGGCCGTGCTGGCGCTCGCCTTTCAGCGCAGGGGAGGCGGCAGCGGGGTCTCCTTAGGTCGTTCTTGCTTCTAGAGAGAGTGGTAGGCAAGCCTGGGCTATGTTAGACCTTTCCGGTACATTCCGTCACCTCCACCAAACCCTGAGACATCCCCCATTCGCACCAGCGGGCTCTCCCGACCCCTGCTCCAACCCCTGCCATTCCCTACATGGCTGTGCTGACCGTTTGCTGAGGGCGGCGTCTCCGGGTCTGCTAGCCGCCACTCGGCTTCATGCTTTTCAAGCTCCTTGTCTCGCTCTTAGGGGTGCCTTCCTTTTTATGGCTGAGTAGTATTCCAGCACTGTGGCCCGCGCTGGCTTGTCCACGCACGGCCGCTGGCCACTCTGTTGTGTAGGTGTCCTGGGGTAGCTGCGTTGAATGCTCCAGAACAAGGAATGTCTTTTTTTGGCGTGTGTTCTCCTTTCCTTGGATGTATACTTGCTGGGGGACTTTCTGTGGCTATGTGGTAGCTGTGTTCCCCAGGGTGAGGAAGTGCTGGCTGGTTTTCCAAAGCGCCAGACAAATGTCAACTCAGTGACTAAGTCCGCGCAGCAGGCTGGAAACGCCATTCAACGTACCAGCAGCATTGGCTCCAGGCTGAACGGCAAGTGTGGCTGCGGTGCCATAGCCCCGCACAGGGCCTCTCATGAGCAACTCTCCTGCCGTATGGCCAAGCAGCAACATCAGATATTCAAGGCCAGCTCGAGGTACACAAAACCCTGTCTCAACCAGCTAAAAATAAAGACATAAATGCTTTAGAAAACTGTAGCTGAGCGATTCTCTGAACGGTTGTTTGTTTGTTTTGTTTTTCTGGGCTGGAGAGACAGTTCAGTGGTTTAGAACGCTGGCTGCTCTTGCAGAGGACCCAGGTCCCAGCACCCACAGGGCGGCTCAAAGCGATCTGTAACTCCAGTTCCAGAGGATCCGGCGCCCTCTGCTGGCGGACACCAGGCACACGTGTGGTGCGCAGACGCACACCAGGCAAACACCATACCCTGATCAAAGAAAACCTTTACAAAGGTTCTTACTCGGTGATGAACCTGGCTTACTCCTCGCAAACGCCTATGATCCTCTAACACCCTCTTTGAGTGCTTCTTGCAGGCTTCAGGGTCTCCTGAGCACAGGAAGGGAAGGTCACTTCCTTCCCTGGCAGAGGCTGCAGAAGCCGACGCCACGAGGACATTTGCTGGTTTCTTCTGATGTAGTTTCCCGGCCCCTTGTGACCCGCTCCTTCCTGCTCCCGCCCCCGCCTGTGTAACGCTTCTGAAAGTGGGGCGCCCTGGGCGCTCAGCTACACTGAGCCTCCATGGGCAGCGAGGGCACCAGGGGCCGCAGGGGCCGCGAGGCAGACACACCCAGGAGCCCACACTGTAACTCCAGTGCGCCTGGGCTCTCGCCTCACACACCCTCCATGGCTCCTAGTTCCTTCCCAGCCTGACACCTGAAGAGCCGTGACGGGGCTGCAGCCCTGGGCGAGCCGCACGAAGTCCTGACCATAGGTGCCTGGCTGCTGTCCACCTAGCCCTGCCCTCCTTCACACGCAGCTTGCTTGGGGAAACTGAGGCAGATATGTGTGTTTCTGTGAAGGCAATATTGGCAGGGATGGGGATAGCTTTAAAAGAACCAACTCTGTCCCCAGTGGGGCCATTTGACTCCATCTCCTTGCTCCAGCTGGGCCCTCTGGACCCAGTTTCCCTACCTATGACGTAGGGCAAGCCATGGCGGTGTTTCTGAGATCCAGGGCTATCTTAAGACCATCAGAAGGGTCAAGCCCATGCTACAGTCTCCTAGGGCTGTCCCTCCCTCCCTCACTGGCCTAGAACTCACTGCAATCCTCCTGCCTCAGCCTCCCAGGTGAGTGCTGGGCCGACAGGTTTGTGAACTGCACCTGGCTTTCCCTTGTTTCTGTTCCATTTCCCTGACTCTGTTTCTTCCCCTCCCCCTCACCCCCTCCCTCTAACAGCACCATGGGAGCCAGGCTGTATGGGTCACTGGTCAGAATGTTTCAGGACAGAGACACAGGCTCATTGTCCCAGAGCCGCTGACATCACAGCCCTCAGGATGCTTGACCCTGAGCCAGGCCTGACAGCTGTCCTGGGGTCATGGCTCAAGCTCCAAGGGGCCCCTTCCAAAGCACCATGAACTCACCCATGTGGGCCTCAGTTTACCCTTATGCCTAGACCACCAAAGATTATCATCTGTGTTGCTTGTGTGAGCCCTGGAACTCAGAAGCCTTTTCATTTAAGACCGGGTTTCTCAGTGTAGCCCTGGCTGTCCTGGACTCACTCTGTAGATCAGGCTGGTCTGAAACTCACAGAGATCCTCCTGATTAAAGGCGCATGCCACAGCACCTCACTCTGAAAACATCTTTTAGAGAGAAACCATATCATTTAAAACTATTTTTTTTTCCTCTTTCTCTCTTTTGAGAGTCTATATAACACAGGCTGCTCACACATTCATGGCCATCCCCCTGTCTCAACCTCACAGATAGTGGACCACGGACTTTAAAAAGCAACCTACAGGCTAAGGTTCAGTTTCTAGAGCCTCTGCTCCTGCAGGAAGCCCTGGGCTCCACCCCAACACCCTGTAAATTGGAAGCTGGGGTGCACACCTGTCATGTCAGCACCCCATAAATCAGGAGTGCTTCCTGTGGTGGCAGCACTGGGGAGAAGGCCACCTGCACAACATGAGGCTCTGCCTCAAAAAAAATTTTTTTCCCCAGGCTTTCTTACCCCAAGGTGGGTTTGTGATGCAGTACCCCCATCCCCGCCCCAGGGCTGACTTCCTGCGTTTCTCTTTCACTTTGACTGGCCCTGGGACGCAGTGAGTTTTTCTTTCTTTTCTCCCACTCTTTCCATTTTCTTTCTCTTCTCAGTGTCAGCGTGTTCGCGGCTGGGGACAGGGTGGCTGGGCCCCTTCAGCCCTGTAGACAATCCTGGTGCCCCAACACTCCTCATGGACCTGATGGGGCTGCCAGGGGTCAGCAGGCAAGTCTTCGTCCTCCTCCTGCTTTGCCGATTGGGCGGTGAGTTCCCACCTGTCCCCACTCCACCTCTCCTGAGTAGGGAGAGGTCCATGGCGGGCTGCAGGCTACAGGTCCTCGGGGGTCTCTGGGACTGCCTTCCTGTTTGTCAAGTGGGTCTTTTTGGCCATGACTGCAGCATTTCACTTAACTCCTGGCTTGATTTTCTCCTCTGCAGAGGAGGCTGACCCATTCCTCCCAGCTCCCATTTTCTTAAACAAGAAAAGCTCAGGGATGGCAGACACATCTAAGATCACTTGTCCTGCTCACAGTTCACAGCAGACACTCACACACGGATCTGCTCAGGCAGATCCAGACCAGGCTGGAAAGAAATGTGAACGCAAAGGGGCTGAGAGAGCTAGCTGCAGGTGGCAGAGAGGGGAAGCATGGCTTCAGGCAACAGGTCTGGGGTCACCAGAGAAAGCAGAAAGGAAGAGGACCTTGCCTGTCACCTCAGCATACAGCAGGCCAATGTCTCTGAGAGTCCTGATATGCTCTCACTTAGGGTAACTCCTTGACTGGGATGTTCTATCTCTCATGCAGGGTGATTCTGGGGAGACCCTGGTGCCTAGAGTGCCCCAGTGGATCTGCCCACAGGACGTCACCATCTCCTGGGGACTGTCCCTAGCCTGACTGCCAGCAGCCATGCACTCAATGGGCTCAAACACCACCACCCCCACCAGCAGCATGGGGCATTCTAGGACATCCTGCACAGGGCTCTGCTTCCATACCTGTCTGCTACTGTTGGCCCTCACAGAGGGACCCACAGAGCCACCTGGGGGAGCTTAGAATCTGGGGTAGGGAGAGGGGTGAAGGCCGAGAGAGGATGGGCAGATGATGGGCGGGTTGGTTGGGGATGGGTACCTGAGCGGGTGTGGAGGGGTGTGGATGGATGGGCGGGTGAGGTTTCTGCATGCAGACATGTCGATGGCGAACAGACACCGACTCCCCTGTGCCCCACCCCAGTGCACACATCCACTGCGCTGTGATACTACTGTCGTTTTCTCTTGTACTTTCAGCCTCCTGCAGAGAGGGCAGCTGCTGCTTTGAGAAGCTGTTGTCATACCCAGAAGGAGCCTCAGGTCAGCTGTGGCCCCTCCCAGACTGAGAGCTGCCCCAGGCTCTGCTTACCTCGCCCTACACCCCCACACATGCTTCCCTCCCCCTCCTGCCGGGGCAGCCTGCACAGGGGGACCCTGCCTGCCCCCTCAGTCACCTTGTGAGCATGGGTCTCCTGTGCCGTCCTCCTTTGCAGCCTGGTCTTAGGGTTTAAGGGCCAGTTATTTAGATGGGCCAGTGTTTGGCACAGTCACTGTCTACACATTCGCAGTCTGTCCCTAAGGGGAACATTTATATTTATTAACAAACCTCACAAAAGGAACTCCAAAAAACAGACCCCCAAAATCCACTGTTTAAAAAAAAAAAAAAAAAGACAAGAATGCAATTGTAAAACTACTCACCCTGTTACCCCAGGCCTTGGAAGGCTGAGGCAGGGAGATCAGGAGCTCATAGTCATCCTTGACTAATGACGTTAAGGTGAGCCTGGGATACAGGAAAACAAAACACTGCAAGGAACAAGAGTGCAGTTCCCTGAGCAGTTAGGAAGCTGAAGGTTCTCAGTGTTCACAAAGAAGTCTGCCTGACCAGGGAGATGAGGCCCTCGTTCAGCCTGGCATATGCAAAGGCCCTGATGTGGAATTTGGCCTTGTACCTTCGAGGTCCGGAAAGGGTGCTGGCAGGACAGAGGAGGGCAGGCTCTGGGGTGAGAAGGACAAAGGGACACAGAAACAGCACCATGGAGCCCCACTTCTCCCACAGGCTCCTCAGGACCCAGGAACTTGAGTTGCTATGGGGTTTCTGGAGACAAGTACGAGTGTTCCTGGCAGTTTGATGGCCCCGAGGACAGCGTCACCCACTTCCTGAGGTGCTGGTGAGGACCTGTCCCCACTGTTTCTGCAGCCCAGATGTGTATGTGCGCTCATGTTGAACAGGGCCCTGAAGACCTGAAGACCCCTGCATGTCATATAGGACTTTGAGGGGGATAGCATGTCACCACGAGGGTGGCAGAGACACATTCTCCTTGTTCTGGTTTTTGCTTTATTTTTTATTTTTATTTTTTGATCTTTGGAGACAGGGTCTTAATATGCAGCCCAAGCTGGCCTGAAACTCACAGAGCTCCTCCTGCCTCTGCCTCCTGAGTGCTGGGATTAAAGGACTGAGCCTCTGCCTACTGGCTGTGAACCTAGTTCTTTATTTGTTAGAGGTGCTGGGATTAAACTCAGTTTCTAGTCTTTACTTCATTCTCAAACTGATCCCCCCCACCCCCTCCGAGGACTCATCACTAATGCTCTCCCAGCTACAGCTTCAGCCCGAGGCGCTGCTGCTACTTCGATGTGGGCCCAAAAAGGACTGTGGAGTTCTCGGAACAGGCTGGGGTCCCTGTGCTGTCCGAAGTCACGTGCTGGGTGGAGTCCAGGCTCAGGAACCAGACCATGAAGTCTCCGGAGATAACCCTGATCCTGTCCACCTGGAGTGAGCTCTCTGTCTTCCCTGTCCCTCTGTCACCTCAGATGCTCCCAGGCCGGTGAGGCGCTGGACACTGCTGTGTGACAAAGCAGACTTGTCGCACAGGATCTGCTGTCTGGGTTCTTAGTTTCTTCCGGCTTCAGCCTGATCCTCAGAGCTGCACAGTCCCACAGCCCCTCCTGGGAGCTGTGCCTTCATGACTCAGCATGCCTTTGAGTGCTGTCCGCAGTGTGTGCTTGAGGATGTGGGTTGTGGGCAGAGTCAGGGACAGATGTGGGCAGGTACCGAGGGAGTGAGGGGCCACCCACCACTCCACTGAGGCAGAAAATTAACCAGGGCAGAGTAAAGTTCACTTATCAGTGGGAAACACTCCAGCAAGATGGTTTTTTCGAGGGATGAACACAGCTGAGGATGAGACCCAGGATTTTCCTAATACTCTACTCTGAGCTCCAAGCCCCTCACTGGGGAATTCTAGGCAGGGTCTTCACCCCTGAGCCACACTCCAGCCCCTCACGGGGGATTCTAGGCAGGGTCTTCACCCCTGAGCCACACTCCAGCCCCTTAAATATTTTTAAAAATCATTGGATAAGGGACAGGATTCAGTAGGTAGATATGAGCTAGCATACAATGAGTCCTAAGGTTTCATCCCCAGCACTGCGTAAATCAGTTGTGGGAGTGCATGCATGTTCTGACCCCTCTCTGGAGGTAGGAGGATCAGGAGTTCAAGGCCAGCCTCAGTTACAAGAAACAAACACAAATGCAGAGACAAATCTCCTGCCACCAACTCTGGGTTCAGGATGCCTGCCCTCGGTCGTGCCTCTGCCTTTCACTCTCGCCAGGTTGGGGCTGGGCAAACTTCCTAGACATTTGTACTCAAGCCACAGGCACATGTGTCATTTCCTCCTCCCACAACAGCCAAGTTCAACCCCCCAATGAGAGACATCGAAGTGTCCCGATCAGGCAGGCAATTACGCCTGGACTGGAGTGTTTCCGATGAGGCTGGTGCTGAGGTGCAGTTCAGGCACCGGATGGCCACGACAAATTGGACGTTGGTGAGTTTGTTTTCCAGGTCACCACAGCAACATCAGTGTCCCCCAGTCAGGTCCCCCTGAGCTGGCAGCTCTGTCTTGCTGCTTCCTCCATTGTCCTCAGATTTGATGGTGACCTTCCTGCTCAAACACACAATCCTCCCCCTCCCCCTTCCCTTCCCTCCTAGTGGCTCCCATCCTGGCCCTGGGCATCTTGTCAGCATCTCGCTTCTTTGACAAGCCCTGGGCTGCCTTTCTCTGCTGTGTCCTTGCAGCCCAGCCTCCTAGCTTCTGGACTCAGCCGGTCAACCCCCACCCGCACCTCACCCCCCCTGCCCCCCTTCACAGACCACCTGTTACCCTCAGATCCACTCTCTCCTTCCTTCCCTCCATCACCCATTCACTTCTCAGCCACTGAAGTCCCATGGTCTCTCTATGATTCTACCCTGGCCTCAATTTCCCCTCAGATAAATAGGCAATGAATCAGAGGAGCTTGGCCTGGCAGCACCTACTTCACTCCAGCACTTGGGAGGTGCAGGAGGAAGAGAGACTTTGGGGAGGGGTGAGAAAGGAGGGAGGCTCTTGGGGTGAGGAGGGAAGGTGGTCCTGGGAGTGAGGAGAGAAGGAGGCTCTTGGGGTGAGGAGGGAAGGAGGTCCTGGGGATTGAGGAGAGAAGGAGGTTCTGGGGGTGAGGAGGGTGGGAGGCTCTGGGGTTAAGGAGGAAGGGAGAGAGAGTTGAAGGGTACAACAAGGAGGGAGGGAGGCTTTGGGGATACTGGGGGGGGGACTCTCAGGCTTTAGGACTTGGCTCTAACCTGAAGTCCAGGCTCAGAGAGCCAGGAAGTATAAACCACTCATACACATACCTCTTTCTCTTTTAGGGTGACTGTGGACCTCAGGATACTGGCTTGGATGTGATTGAGAACATTCCTGGCAGCAGCTCCGGTAAGCATTAATGAAGCACCTACTGTAGTCAGTGTAGGTTTCCTCCTATTCTGCAAGGGCAGAGTGAGCTATGGAAGAGCCAAGGTCATAGTCGAGGTTGGGGGCAGAGCCCCAGCCTCAAAGGAGCAGTAGCGGGCAGGGAGGGGCCAGGGAGAGCCAGGGCTCACAAAGTGCTGGTCAGGTGACCTAGGTCTAGACCTGGCAGCCCTGGTGCACTGACGCTGTGACCCATGTCCTGCCTCTGCCCAGAATCCTGCCTCTGCCCTTCAGAAAACATGGCACAAGAGTTCCAGATCCGCAGGCGGCGGCTCTCCTCCGGGGCTCCTGGAGGTCCCTGGAGTAACTGGAGCAAATCTGTGTGCGTTCCACCTGGTGAGAGAGACCTGGGTTACAAGCTCTTGGAAAGGGTAAACAGAGTCACCTGTGGTGTGCACACCGGTCACCCAAACACTGGGAAACCTGAGGCAGGGGGATTGTGGTTTTGAGGCCAGCCTTAGCTCCATAGCCAGACCCTGTCTCAAGAGATTAAAAGATGTGGCAGCCTGGGGGTTAGACAGACAGCCTGGGGGTTAGACAGCAGCCTGGGGGTTAGACAGACGGCAGCCTGGGGGTTAGACAGCAGCCTGGGGGTTAGACAGACAGCCTGGGGGTTAGACAGCAGCCTGGGGGTTAGATGGCAGCCTGGGGGTTAGACAGACAGCCTGGGGGTTAGACAGCAGCC